TCTCCCACCCTCAGGTGAACGTCATGCCCTCAGCCATCAGAGTGATCCTTCTGGAGAACCTGACCCACTTCTGGCCTCTCATACAGGTCAAGATTAAGCGTTGCCAGCAGGTGGGTGCACTGGACAGGCCCTGAGCCCAGGTCTCCCTTGCGTCCCCTTGCAGGGGTTTGGTTGGCGGGTGAAGGGCCCAGCCAGGAGCACCTATGGGGCTGGATCCTGCTGGCTGTGGGGTGAGCAGCCTGTGTCTGAACACTTGAGGTCTGTCTGTGCCCTGTGCAGGGTGGGATTGACACACGTGTACATGGCATTGAGGTCCTGGGGCCCAAGCCCACCTTCTGGCCAGTTTTCAAAGAGCAGCTGTGCCGGCGCACATACCTGTTCTACACCACCAAGGCCCACACCTGGTGCCAGGAGATCTCTGAGGATCGGCTCCAGCTGCTGCAGCTCTTCAACAGGTGAGGCCCCATGTGGCAGTGCTGTGCCTCTGTGGTCAGCAGAGGGAGATGGATTGTGTGGCTCCAGGCACTGTCAGCCATGTCATGCTGCCAGGCAGAGGAAATGTCAGGGCTGACCTGTGTGGGGGCAGAGGCATCAGCCTGGGGCTGCAGGCATTGGTATGCAGGGCGGAGAAGGTGCAGTCTGCAGTATCTCACAGGGGTTTATGAGGCCTTGTGTCCCTTTGAGCCTTTGTTTGTGAGGCTTGGATGCTTGGGAGCTGTGCAAGACCTTGAGAGCAGAGATCGTCCCTCTGACACAAAGGCTTGAGAGGTTTCAGGGGTTTGTGGTGATATTTGGAGAGCCAGTGTGGGGAGCACTGCAGGGCAGGGAGTGGAGGTGGTGGTGATCAGTGGAGAGGCAGGGGGCATCAGGATATAGCAGCTTGGGTTGCCTGGCCTGGTGGAAGGGCTCCAGCTGCCAGATGGAGCTGTAGAGAGGGAAAGGGCTTGCTGAGGAGAGGGGAAGTGGAGCCAGGGTAGTACAGCTGGGTCTCCAGGAGGAGCTCTCCAGCAGCAGGAGGGGGCAATGGCAGAGTTGCCCCAGAACAGGACCCAATGGCCAGGGGAATTTGCTGGGTGGGGGTGCCCCAGAGCCCAACAGTCCTGCCTCCAATCCTGGCAGGTGTAGGATGCACCAAGCTGGCCCCAGGTTCAGCTGCTGTGCTGCCTGGATCTCCCTGCCCTCTTTGTGTCTGGTGCTGGGTCAGCACCTCACCCTACCTGTCCCTGCCACTGTTTTCTGCTCCCTCCCCTGGCCAGCCATACATCCCTGCCCAGACCACGTCCTGGGTGTGTTTCCCAGCACCCCTGCTGATGCTCTCCTGGCAACTCTCTGTTGTTGCAGGCTGAACAGCGCACTGCGGCATGAGCAGGTGTTTGCCGATTGCTTCCTTCCTGATGATGAGGCGGCCCAGGCTCTGGGTAGGACCTGCTGGGAGGCCCTCATCAACCCACTGGTGCAGAGCATCACCAGCCCAGGTACCAGCTCCCCCTGCCTGCCCCCTCTCACTGTGCCCCTGACACACAGCTTGCCTGGCTCAGGCTCTGTCCTCCTCCCAGACCCCAGCGGCATCAGCCCTTTGGCCTGGCTCCTCAGTGAGTATCTGGAGAACTCGGAGACAGTCCGACATGCAAAGAGTCGTGCCACCATCTTCAACTCCCGCGTGCGCCGCCTCAGCCACCTGCTGGTACATGTGGACCCTGGCACTTTGGAGCCCAAGGAGCTGCGATCGCCCATCCGAGGCAGTAAGGGCCTGGGCAGGCCAGAGCAGGGGGTTCCTGGGGCTGCATGGGTGAAATTGGGCAGGAATGGGTGCAGGTGCCATGGGGGTGAGTGCTGCTTGTGTGGTGAGGCTGGCAGAGCATTGCGGGTCCACACCAAGGGCCACAGCAGTAGAGTTGCTTTCTGTTGGCAAAGGAGCCATGTTCCCCACCCAGCAAAGCAGGCTTCTCTCGCCCCTCAGCAGGCAGTGTCAGGCATGTCTATACCTTCTCCAGCTGCCACAAGCCCTGTGGCAGCCAGGCAGGTTCCCCTCATGCCCTGGGGCACAGCTGTACCAGTGGAGCTGCCTGGACATGCATGTGTCTAGGGTTTCCTTGGGGCAGGGGCCCTCTTCTGGCAGAGGCTCCCTGCTCCAGACAGGGCCTGGACACTCTCAGCTGCCTCCTGCCCATGGGACCTGCTCTGTTGGGAGGGCCAGGTTCAGGCTGGTGGCAGAGGCTCGGTGCAGCTGCTTCAGGTGCAGATGCCTCTGTGGAAATGCTACAGGGGCAGGGTGAGTCCAGGGCTCCCAAGAGAGCCGGAGCAGTTCCTCTCCTCTCCTCTCCTCCTCTGGGTAGGTGGATAGAGGAGCCAGACTGCAAGGCCTCTTTGAGAAGAGGTGGCCTCCCTGGCCCATGCAGCACCCTTAGCATGTAGTTAGTGCCTGTGGGGCTGGCACCTGCTGGCAGGGGCCACTGTCCCTGCAGAGCTCCCACTTAGTGCTGGCTCCTGCCTGGGCTCAGGCCTTTTCCATGGGCACCTGGCACATGGCGGGCTGTGCTGTTGCTGGCAGAGGTGGGGAAGTGATGCAGGCATGTCAGAGGGTGAGGAGCTCTGGTTCCAGGTGGCTCTGCAGTGCACCACATGAGCTTCAGCTCTCTTCCCCCAGGGTGGCAAGGGCCATGGACATGCCTAGCTCCAGATCCAGTCCCTCCTGCAGCAGCCAAGCCAAACTGCTGCCTTGGAGCACAAAGGGCTGCTCTCTGTGGGCCCTGCGAGCCGTGCTCACTCTGGGTTTGGTCCCTTAACAGATGTGAAGAATGGGAAGAACAAGGAGGCAGTCTGTGGAGCCGGGAACATGTCAGGGAAGAAGCCTGGCAGCCTGGTGGGCATCACACAGTGCTGGAAAGGTGTTGTGCAGCAGCAGGTATGCGTGCATGGCTGTGGGGACAGGGCCTGGGCAGCAGAAGCAGGATGTAGTACTGGGGTGCACGGCTGCAGTGGGGGGGCTGTGCTGCTGCTGCTCTCTCCTCTGGCCCCAGCTGTTCTGCACAGAGCATGGTCCTGGGTGGGGCTGCCTATGACAGCATGGTTGCCACCCCCGTGCAGGTGAAGCGGTTCCTGGAAACCTCATGGCAGGCCCCAGACTTTGTGGAGCGCTACTGCAGTGTGTACCAGCGCCTGCATAGCGCCATGGAGGAGCTCTTTGGGCAGCAGATGGCCTTTGCACTGGCCCTTCGCCAGGGCTTCTCGGGGGCGCTGCTGCAGCTCTCCTTCCTGACAGCCATGCATGTGAGTAGGACTCGGCCCTTTGCAGGGGGAGGGCAGCTAGCGGGGTGGCCCTTGCCCTGGAACAAACTGGGAGCTCAGTGGAGGATTGGGCTGCTCTGCTGGGCACTAGGCCCTTGGGCAGGAGAGCAGGGGCAGCACCTATGCCCTGGTTGGGCTGTGCCCTGGCCTTTCTGCCTGCCAGCTTGGGCCAAGGCCCTTCATGGTTTCTCTGCAGTTTGCCTGCCCTCTGGGATGCTACCAGCCCCCACTACTATGTTTCTGTTGGGTGACCCCTGTGGTGAGCCCTGCCCCTGCCTGGGTCCGGCAGGTATAGAGTCCTGTCATGCCCCTTGCAGCTCCCCTGCTTCTGTTCTTGTGCTGCCTCAGCGTGACCCCCTTCCAGGGAAGGGACTCCATTGTCCTGATCTGAGGACAGTCCTGTGGCGAAATGCTTTCCTCCTGTCCCATGTTCCCCTGAAATTTCTTGTGGGGAAGTGTGACTCTGCCTGACCTCCTGTTCACATGTGGTGGAGCCACCACTCTAGAGTCCCACCCTGACCATGGGCGCTGTCCCCCCAGGTGAGTGAGCAGTTTGCCCGCTACATCGACCAGCAGATACAGGAGAGTCGCACTGATGCGGCCAGTGTGGAGACACTGCAGCGGCTGCAGCGGAGCCTGGAGCCCATCCTCTTCCTCTCAGGCCTGGAGCTCGCCAACACCTTTGAGCATTTCTACCGGTGAGGAGACGCAGGCAAGGACCAGCCAAGGAGGAGCGGGGCTGTGAGGGTTCCCCAGGTCAGAGGGGCTGGGGTTCAGGTCAGACTGCTGACTGAGGCTGTGGGAGCTTCTGGGGGAAGGGAGTGGGCCCTGGACTGAGCTCCACAGAAGCCTGCTGGGCCCTCTGCTGCCCGCCCCAGCACCCAGGTTCTCTCTGTGGCTTGCAGCAGCCTGGGTAGGCATGTCCCCTGGGGTTGCTCATTCTCCAGGTGCAGGGAGAAATCAGACCAGCGAGGCTGGTTTGGCAGGGGCTGGGCTTTATGGCCTCCAGCACCACCCACTATGGAACTGGGGATCTGGCATGGACTTAACTGGGTTGGCCCTGGGGGCACCTGCCTTTGGCCGTGACAGAGGAGGAGGGCATGGGGTTCCTGCGTCTGGCACGTGGGGGTTGGGCTTTTGGTTCTGGGAAGGCAGAGACAGGTCTAGGGGATGCCTTTGTTGCGGGTTGCTGGGACCGGGGTTGTCTGAAGTTGGTTGCTGTTGCAGGTATTACCTGGGTGACCGGCTCCTGGCCCAGGGCAAGGTGTGGCTGGAGGTGGCTATTGTGGAGCAGATTGGGCTCTGCTTCCCCAACCGCTTCCCCCAGCAAATGTTGAAGAACCTGAGTGAGTCAGCGGAGCTGCAGCAGCAGTTTCACCTCTTCCAGCTGCAGCAGCTGGACAAATGTCTGCTGGAGCCGGATGCAAGGCAGGAGGACCCAGAAGATGAGGTGGGCCTGAGAGGGGTGGGGTGGGGGTTGTGCAGGGGCTGCCGCCTTTTCCCAGAGGGGTCATGCCCAAGTAGGCTGTTGCCCCTGTGGGCTCTTGAGCAGATTCCTGCATCTGCCCACAGGTGATGGAGGAGGAGCCTTCCCTGCTGGCAGTGGAGCCAAAACTGCAGGTGCTGGCTCTGTCCCCACGCTGCTGGACCATCTCTTCACTCTGCCATCTGGATGACCCCGGCCGGTTTTTCCCACCACCTCTTGCCTCCTACCTGGCCAAGTTCACTGACTTCTACACAAAGAGTGAGCCTAGACCAGGGTCAGCCTTGCTGGGGCTGGGTCTGCTGGGGGCACCCTGCTCCCTGTGGGAGTGTCTCTGGAGAGGCTGTGGGGCCTGAGGGGTGGTGAGCGGGTAATGCTGCCCATGGATAGGGTCACCATATGGGACAGTGTGAAATCTGGGACATTGCCCGCCCTCCCCACTCCCTCCCTTTGCAGGTAAAGGTAGAGTCAGGGCACCACTGGTATTACTACTGGGGCAGCTAAGGAGTCAATGTCCTGTTAATGATCCATTGTTTTCTTCATTAACACCAATGATCCCTTTTTTAATCTTCATTCCTCTAATTAAGCTAACCTGTTAGGGCAATTTAGCTGTCTGCTAGAGCTTCCCATTTCACTGCTCCTGCCCCTCCACCTCCCTGCCCTGCACCCTGGATGCTTGTTTTAATTTTCACTGGTTGGCCGGGACTGGCTTCCAAATTCCAGGACTCTCCTGGCTAATCCAAGACGTAGAGTTACCCTACCTGTGGGCAACCCTTGCTGGGGCCTGTCCAGATGCTCAGTATGAGCTCTGGCTGGGGCTGGCGCCCCAGGCTGTCAGAGGTCTGTCAGTGGGGCAGGGCCTGCCTGCAGGGGTGTGTGATGGGATCAGCCATGTCTCTTGCAGGTCAGAACCGGTTTGGGCTGGAGCACATGGAGCCACGGCACCTGCAGTGGACGTGGCTGGGCCACGCTGAGCTGCAGTTTGCGGATAGCACCTTGCACGTCTCCACCTTGCAGATGTACATCTTGCTGCGCTTCAACAGTGCTGAGGTGGGGAGTGCATCAACCTCTGTCACCCCTGCCGGTCCCCCAGAGCAGTGCTGCCTTCTCTAGGTCCAGCTTCCTTCGGACAGCTTCCCTTCACCCCTTCCCTGGGGCAGACTTGCCCTGTCTAGCCCCACAGTGCAGGAAATGCCAGTCTCTCAGCCCTTGGAATAGACCCCTGCTTCAAGGCATGAAGCCTGTTCTTGCTCTGGTTGCCTCTGCCTGACCTTTCGCAGTTCCTGCTGGGGCATTGGTGTCCTTTCTCCTTCCCTGAGAGGATGTGGTGGGAAAATGTGGCTGCCTCTTGGCAGCCTTGGCCCTCTACCACCTGTTCCCCTCACCTTGCACTACTTGGCCCCATCTCCTTTGTTCCAGGAAGTTGCTGTGGAAACCCTGGTACAGGCCACAGGGCTGTCTCCGGTCCTGCTGAGCCATGCGCTGAAACCCCTGACAGACAGGGATGGGATCCTAACTCAGAGCCACCCTTCTGGGGGTGAGTATGAATGGGCAGCGCTGTGGGGAGACCCAAGGAGGATGTGTGTTTTGCAGGGTTGGTGTGCAGGAGCCAGTTGCCATGTGAGGGACTGAAGTGCCTGGTACCTGTGCAGGGTGTGTGGCCAGGCAAGAGTATGTCTGCAGGGGGCCTGGGGCTGGGCCTGTAGCATGCATATGGAGGGACTGGTACTGAGGCTGGACTTCCAAAGTGGGTTACAGCCTGGGGCTTGTGGGGTGGATAAAGTGGGACTGAGGTCTCTGAGCTGGATGGGGATGGAGGTCCAGTCCACAAGTACTGCTAACCGTGGCCTGTGCATGTCAATCCCAGGGGTCCTGCAGCTGAATGAGGCAGCCCTGTTGCAGAGCTCTGGCCAGCACCTGTGGCTGCTGCCCAGGCAGACGTACCTGAACGTGAAGGAGGATGAGGGAAGCACCCTGGAGAGGAAGAGGAACATCATCTGCTGTCTCATTGTCCAGATCTTGAAGGGGGAGAAGCAGCTGCACATCGATAACCTTGTTTTCAGGGTATGGAGAAGGGGCTGCCTGGCCTGGCTGTTCTGTTTCCTGGCAGGGTCAGGAGTAACTCCTGGCTTTCTCTACCACTGCCTTAGGTGATTGATGCCTGTCAGAAGCGGGAAGCTGGGGCAGCTCCAAAGTTCCTGAGCTTCTACTGCAGCAGCACAGACGTGCTGTCATGCATCCTGCTGCTGCTCAACCAGCCAGGGCTACATTCGGCGTCTGGAGGACAGCCCCCAGCTCCTGGAGTACATCTCTACAGAGCCCCTGCCAACCCCATCCCCTCATTGCCAGCCCCATGTCACCTTCCAGACTGTGGAGATCAAGAAGGTGCCAAGTGTAGCCTCTGCTGAGAAGAGACAGACCTTCTCCACATTTAGGTAGAAAAGGTACAGGGCTGTGCAGGCACTGAGGCCAAATGCCTGTCTGCATAGCTGTGCTGCTTGTTCTGGTGGCATGGCAATTGCTAGGTTTTGGTGCATTGGTTCTGCAGTCCTGGGCTTCTGGGAGCCACAAACACCTAGGGCATGGAACAGCAACTCGGCCTTGGCCCCAGGCACTGCCCATGGATTCTGACACATGATTCCTAAGGATTCCAGATTTTTAATTTAAATAAAAGAACTTAATTATATGGTCCAGCTATGTGTGCTGGTCTGTGCAGGAGTCCCTGCTCCTCCCCGTGGCAGAGTTAGTAACCACTGCCTTAGGCCTGGCTCAGAGGAGCTTGATGCCAGCAGCAGGAGCTGTGGGGTTCACCAGTACTCAATTAATGGATTTTTTCCTTGCCCACTACGAGTGAAAAATGGCAATGTATACAGCAAGAGTATGAGCTAGTGTGAAAGGGGGCAGCCTTGGCCAACAGCCTTGCACAGTGTCAGCGACAGGCTTTGACACAACCTGAAACTCAGCCTAGCATCTTGCCAAGACCCTAGCATCTTGCCCCTAGCATCTTGCCAAGACCCTTGGGGATGTGGGGAGCAGGCAGCCCATTGCCAGATCTCACTTTAGCTCTTGGAGCCTAAGGTGACAGGCGCTGACCCCCTGGCCATGGTCCAAGTCAGTTCAGCATGCTTGCTGAAGAGCCTGGGGGCAGAGAGCAGTTCACCTAACTCCCTGACCCACGGAAGAGCCCAGCTTGCACATGCTGCTTATACTCTGAGCACGGTACCAGCATTAATTTATTAAAATGAATCCAGAAAAGCAAACATACAATAAAGTTAAAAAAAATAGAATCTTGTAAAAAAGGGGGGTAACCCGCTGCCGTCCTGCCCCGCGGGCAGCACCGCCCCACAGTTTAGGTCTCTTGAGTTCAGTCAGGGACAGCCTTTACAGCTCAGGCGACTTCAGTTCCCAGGGTTTGGCCTGGCCACACAGCCCACTCACCTCACCCTCCAGGCCCCAGCAGAAATGTGGTTCCTTAAATGAGGGATATGTTAGCTGCTGCAGGCTGTTTAAAGAAGCTGCTCTACCCTGGGAAGAGCTTTCCAACCCCCCACCAATACCAATGTGTACAAGACTTCCTTGCCCCTGGCCCTCAGGTAGGTGCCACACCTCTGCAGCTCTTATCCCTGGGGTGTGGCTGTAGGGTCTTACTAATCCACTGCAGTACTTGATGGTTGCCCCCAGCAGTGGGAATGACTGGGCAGGGCAGATGGGCCAGCAGCAGAAATGGCAGTGGAAAGCTGTTACTTGAGCTTGGACTGGCTGGGCACGGTAAAGTGCTAGAGCCTTTTGCAGGCTCTGGGTAAGATGTATCCTAAGGTAGGTGGGTGGTGGGGGTGGGGAGAAAGTGGGGGGATGGGAGGGGTACGTAAGGAGCATAGCTCCAACACTGCAAGAGAACATGGCAGCACAGCACAACCACGAACACCACACATGCTTGACGCCAGGGTAGGGGCACTGCCTGCCCACAAGCTGACATTGACTGACCCTGTCCTTGCCTTTCCCTGTGCCCTGTGTGCAGCTCTTGCTGTCTTCTGCTTTGCTCAACTCACCTGCCTCTTTCATGCCACAGGGCTTTAGAGTAGTGGGGGCCTCTTGCTGTTGTTTGCAGGGTGAGTTCTTGCCTCCCAGCCTGGGGAATGCTGCTCACTTAGCTTTGTGTCCCAGCTGGCATTCTGAGTCTTGCCATCTGTTCACTGCCCCCAGCCACAACCACCCAGGAAAAGCTGATTGCAGGGGAAGAGACCCCTTGCCTAGTGTCCTTCCTGTGACCTGACTGGTGCTGCCAGCCATTTCTGCCATGGGGTGACTGCTCCCTGCGGAGCACAGCTTGCATCTCTTCCCCTGCCCCTTGGGCTCCATGGCTCAAAACACTCATGTAGAGGCCATCTAACCTCAGTGGCTCAGCAGGGTGGGGGGAGAGGGCAGGTTTCTTAGATGACAGGATATAGGGGCTCCTCTAACCTGCACTTGTGCACCTAGGTAGGCAGCAGGGCTCCTCTTGCCTAGGTCCTCAGTACTACTGCAGCATTGGTCTCTGTGGCAGTTCCTAGCCTCCATCCCTACCCCAGGGCAGGGGCGCTGCTACGCCCTTGTAATGGGAGGGGACAGGCTCAGATTTCTAGCTGTTACTGGAAGCTGCCTGATACTGTTTCACCTGCCACAGCATCACATTAAAAAGCCTCAAGGGTGTACATGTAGAGAGATGTGTCATCTCCCTGAAGAACAGGGAAGGGGCCACACTTGCAGCCAGCCCATGCTGGCAGGAGGCAGCTCCTACGGTGCCTGGTGGGAGGGGAAGGGAAAGGAAAAGGAAAAGGGTCTGCTCCCCACTCTGGCCCTGCTCAGTAGAGTCCTTCTCTCGGCTGCTGTGCCACCTCATGCACTCTTCATGTAGCCAAAGATGCCCACAGGGAGATACTTGACATGCGTTGGCCACTGTGCTGCAAGCTGGAAAAACTTCACATCGTTCCACTCCACGCCATCGATGGAAACTGAGAGGGAGGGTCTAGCTCAGCTGGGGCATAGACTGTGCCGTCCCCCCCACATCCCTCAGCTATCCCATGGCAGGGGCTGCACGCTCACCCTCAGTCAGCCTGAAGGCCCAGCACATGCACAGCCAGGGGGTGCTTTCACTCAGCTGCTTCAGCTGTTGTGGCTCCAAGGGCAGAGGCAGCGGCAGTGGCCTGCTTGCCTGGTGCCGTGGCCTTGGTACCAGCTGCAGGAGAAGCTGGGTGAAAGTGCATTATGAGGCCTCCCCACCCTTACCTCGCAGCATAGTGTTCTGGTGTTTGGCAGTGCAGATCAGGCGTGTGATCCCTTCAATCACCTGGCTTTTGGACTCTAGGTCCTTCTCTTTTGGTTTCTTACTCAGGAACATCACTGTCAAGAGAAAGCACATTCCCAGACACTGACTGGATGGAGGCACCTGCCTTCCTGCTCTGCTCCAATCTTTCCCAGCAGCTGGGACCCAACAGAGCAATGCTACTGCCCTGGGTGGAGAATACCAGGTCTTGCCTCACTGCTCTGCTGGCCCTTGGCAGCTGTTACCTTTCTTGTTCTTCTCCTTGGTGACCACAGTCATGGCCATGGTGGTGGGCGGGGCCGGCTCCCCAGTGCTGGGCAGGCGGCTGACCTGCAGCGAACGGAAGTTGCTCTTCAGCGTGTTCTTCATGCCTGTCTCCCGCTTCTCTCCCTCCTTTTTCTTCTCAGGCCCTTGAGTTGTCCAGTAATCAACCTGCAAGCCCATTACCTCCACCCCAGGGCTCAGGGACCTGGTGAAGTGAAGGCGGCAGGGCGGGCAAAGACATCGTGACCATGTGGCCTCACTTACACCAGCAGATCAGGGCCCTCTTATCAGGGCTCCTGCTTTCTGGCCCCCCAGCAACCACACTGTTCCTCAGTGTCCTGGGTGGTATCATGCACTGTCTGACACCCAGCCCCCAGCAGCTATTGACCCCTGCTGTGGCCCTCAGGAGCCAGCTGCTAGCCTCACCCTGGTACCTCAATTTACTGTATTTACTCAAAGCTAAGTTGACCATGAATTTAAGATGACCCCCCCCCCAGTAATTAGATGCTATGTATGGAAAATGTTATAATTTTCCAGATACAGAATCTAATTACTGAAAGGTTGTCCTAAATCCATCCTCCACCACTCCTACAGCAAGGAAAGCAGTGGCGGGGGGGTAGGGGGGGTGTCAGGTAGCACCCCTTGCCCTCTACCCCCACCATGTATTTCTCCTGCAGCCTTCCTGCCCCCCCTGCCACCTACACCACCCCATCCCCAGATCCCCATCATCTGTGCCACCCCCACTCCCCACAATCTTTACCCCTTACCCCAACTGCCCCCAGTCTCTGCCTCTACCTCTTCCCCTTCCCCTTCCCTTACTGTGAGATGCTGCTTGGGCTCTGTACCCTGCCAGGTCACAGAGCACAACATGAGGAAGCGTAGCCCTCGCAGGACCATGGAGAGACAGTTGCACTGCTGACTGGCCAGGCAGGGCATGGAGTTTCCCTGTGCTCTCTGCCCAGGAAGGAATCCAACCTGAGCCAGACCCTGAGCTGCACCTGACAGTAAGTGGGGGGAAGGGGGTAGAGAGGGGCAGAGAACAGAAGCTGCAGAGAGAAACTGGGGGAAGGAGAGTGGGGATGGCAGAAAGCTGCTGTGGGTCTGGCACAGGGCCTGAGTTAGCGCCACAGAGCTGGCCCCCTCCACTTTGTATGCAAATTAAGAGGATTCTTTCCCCCCTCAGACTTACTGGGGCCAGGGGGGGAACATGACACCTCATCTTAGATTTAAGTAAATATATGTACGGTATCTTATGGGTCCTGCAGCTGCAGGGATTACTGCTAGCCCATGGGGCAGAGCGTAAACACTGGATAGCCATAAGCCTATGCCTGAAGCCAGCCTGGTGAATCAGCTCTGAGGGCTTGGCACCAGCCCCAGAGTGCAGTGACCATTGCAGTGGGGAGGAGTTTTCTGGGTGAGCAGGAGGAGCATAGGAAGGTGGAGGAAACTCCTGAAGATGGGGAAGTCCTGAAGTAGAAAGGAAGGAAGGACAGCAGCTGTGGGGCCTGTTCGCATTCAGGGTCGAGGTTGGGTGCTGCTCAGTAGGATAAAGGGGGCATGGGGTTGCACCCTGCACTGAGAGAGGCATGACTTTGAGCACAGCACACAGCCCCACTCCCCAAGGGACTGCACACTCTGCTCTCCTCTCCACGTGCCATGCAGCCAGCACAATCCTCTGACTCAAGCTGTCCCCAATGTGGGAGCAGCGTGGCACTGGTGCTCACTATACAGGCAGCCCTGGCTAGCTATGGTACAGCTCTCCCCTGCACCCAGGCACTGACCTGGTGGCAGGCCTACAGCAACAGCAAACTGGGGCATAGAGTGCACCCTGGAAGCAACCACAGCCTTGGGGCAAGGGGCTCTTGCTCCCCTATCTTCCTGCCCATCTGTTGTGCTGCACTGCCAACTCCCCAGCATGACACAGCAGTGTAGGAGCTAAACACTTCTCCTTCAGCAGGGAAGCAGCTTGGTCAGTTTTCTGTGATCACAGGGGCCTGAATGTGGTGGCCTGGGAAGGCCATTACTATTAGGCCCCTGATTTGGTCATGGCACAGCATCATCTCCCCAGAGTCTGGCCCTCAGCACCCAGTGCAGAGCCTTACCCAGTCCCTGAGAGGCTGCTACTGATGGACGGAGAAGGCGGTGGGGTGCCAACAGCCTCCTTGCTGTATGTAGTGCTTCCACCTGATGGTGTACCAGAGCTCAGGAGGGAGGTGGTGCAGATGGTGGCGTCATCAGAGTCCACTAGTATGGATGAAACATAGCAGCCAGTTAAAGGACAAAGGACAGAAACAGGGGTTTGCCTTGCCCACTGCTCGGGGAGGGAAGGGAGCATGGGGTGCTCTCACAGCTCCCTGGGGCAAGGAGGGGCATGTGCATGTGCATGCCTCCAGGTGGTGAGGGGGGGCTGCTGTCTAGCACCAGCTGCTTGCTCATTAGGAATGAGGCTGAGTGCAGACCTGCAGTCCTTTCCCCAGCACTGCCATGGCTGGCTGCAGGGTGGAATGGTGATGCCAACCCAGTGCAGCACAACTGGGTGCACAGCCCCAGAGCCATGAATCACTGCACTAAAATGAGTGGCATGTGGAGGTCTGCCAGGGCACCCCTGGGCAGCCCAAGGCTGCAGAGTCTGTGTGCTGTCAAGAGAGTCGTCTACCATGTTGCCCGGGCAGTCCCAGCCTGTTTGGGTATCAAATCCAACAGTCATCCCCCGAGGAGGGCCAAATGTCCCTGAGCTGAGAGCCATGGCCATCCTGGCACAGGTGCTGTGTGGGAGCCCAGGGCCCTGCCCAGCCTCCAAGGTGGTAGGTTGTCTCACCTGAGGCACTGAAGGACTGTTCCACAAGCCCCACCTTCACCACCTAAGGAGAGAGACACATCAGAGCCCTTCCAGAGTTGGAGCCCTGCTGGCCCCATCTCCTGAGTGCTGTTGTGCAGCTTTCTGCCTGCAGCTTACTACCCACCACTGCCTGCCACTGAGAACCTGGCAGGGGTGGGGCTGGGCCTCCAATGGGTGCAGAGCCTTTGCCATGGCCAAAGCCTCCCCTTCCCACTCCAAACACTCACCCCCACGAATGGCACAAACTTCTGGCAGGAGTCCTCATCCGGGCTGTGGGAGGGGAGAGATGAGGGTTAAAAACTGTGACTTGCAGCAGGGACCAGAGGGCTCCTATTGGCCTCTAGAGCCAGGAGGGCCATATTCAGGCATGGACACAGGCCTGTGGGGCACAGCCAGCTCCCCTCTCATTAGGCAGCTGAGGAACTATTCTGCAGGACAGCAAGGTGGGTGAGAAAAGCCTCTGTGGCCACCAGCCCAGCAGAGGGAGCAGAGCACTGGGGCTTGTGTGGCATGGGACAGAGCATGGTGAGGATGACACGTGCCACCTCAGGGCTCACAACAGCCCTGCCCTGAGCCCTGAAGGGGGCAGGCTAGACCCACCCTGCCCCTAGGCATCAGGACAGGTCCCTCTCCCCTGCACAGCACAGCCCCCTACCCACCTCCCCACAACACTGCAGCACAGGGACATACAGGATATGGGAGGAGGCAGGTGGGGCATGCAGCACTGGGCAGGGGCTGAAAGGACCAGTCTCCCTTCCACAGGGAGAATACATGCAACCAGGGTGCTGGGGGCAGAAGGGGGCTCTGCTCGGCTCCTGGGAGGGGCCTGCTGTAGCAGCCAGGCCCAGGGGTTTCCTCCCAGACACAGAAACAGGCTGGACAGACACATGGAACGAGGCACCAATGCAGCGAGCGACACACCAGTACCTGATATAAAAATCAAAATAGAGACTTCTCTTCCTTGAATGCCAGAAACCAAGAGAAGGGAGAGATGAAAGTGCTGCTGGAACACAAGTCATTAGAGACCCCCAGCAGGAGCTGCCTAGCCCCCAGTTCTGGCCCATATGCTGAGAGACCCCTGTGCCCAGCTCCAACCAGGGCAGGACCCAATGCCCAAGTCACTATTTCCCAGGGTGGGGTGAGGACACTGTTCACACCAGTCCCTGTGCTGCTTCTTGAAAAGATACTGGGGGTGGGGAGGGGGGAAGGCAGGCCTGTGGCACTGCCCAGCCATCTGTTTTGGGGCTGGAGGTAGTGGGGTTCCTTTAAACAACAGCTGTGTCAGTGCCACTCCATCCTGACCAATGGCCCCTACCCTGTCCCAGCCCTAGGATCTCCCTCTGCCTCTTGCACACAGCTTTACCAATAGCCTTCAATCCTGACCTGTTGGCCCCTGCCATTGCTTGCCCTATGCCCCCTACCACAGCTTTGTGCATCTCGCTCCTTCCCCACAGTCCCAGATATTCTAGGCCCGGGTTTCTCTGGAGACAAACAGGTGTACTGCTTTGTGGTTCTTTTCCAAACAGCCATGATGCTCAGTGCCCACCTCCACCCCTGCAGAGATCACAGTGCTCAGCAGGGTCTGGGAAGCCCAAGTCTCAGGCTGGGAGCTGGTGCCCAGGCAGCTGCAACATCCCTGTCCCTCCCCATGCTCTGTACTGACAGGGAAAAGGTGATGGCAAAATTCTGAGATCCTCTGCAGGGAACAAAGCTGGTTCACAGTCAGTGGGCTCCCTGCCCTGCAACAGCACACAAACCTCTGGGCTGGGGACGTGGGGGAGAAGGCCCAGCACAAGGGGAGGAAGAAGAGGAGGGCAAAATCTTCTTGAAAGAAGAGCAGCCACTGGGCCAAATGAACTTCCCTCTTCCTTATGACCAGCCTCCTCCAGAGACACTTTAGCCTGGGATGGACGCTGCTGCCAGCCTTGGCGTATGTACCCAGTTTACTTTAATCAGATCTGCACACAGGCCCTGGGGTTCCTCTCACTGCTCCCTGCCATGTCTCCCACTCTTTAGGGAAGTTAATTTGGCCTGGTGGCTGCTCTTCTCTCAAGAAGATTTTGCCCTCCTCTTCTTCCTCCATCACTGAAATGAGGAGTCCCTCAAGCAGGGGAGTGCAGGGCCTGCTGTGCTGTATTCACTGCTCAAGCCTAGCAGAGAGAAGAGCCCTCTGCTCTCTTGGGGCAACACCAGTTGGCTGGGCTCCAGGGGCACAAGGGGAAAGCAGGTTGGAGCACAGCAAGGTGCAGGGGCCTGCCCATTCTGGCCTGCAGCTCTCCTCTGCAATCCCTAGCCAGTGCAACAGTTGGAAGTGTCATGAGCAATCTGAGGCACTGCAATAACCTGGGGTGCACGGTCAACAACAGTAATGCAGGGTGGCGAGTGCCCAGCCCTGGTAGCACAGCAGGATGGCAGGAGCCCTGTAGTCTGTCCATGGGGGAGCCTGGCTGGACACGTGTGCGCCCCGGAAGACAGGAGCGAGCTCAGGTGTTTCTTGACCTCTGTAACAACACTGGTGTAGGGGGCCCAGCACTCAGACTTAGCACTCACCTCTTCTGCTTGTAAGTCAGCATGGCCTCCGAAATGGGCAGCTGGTGAGAGAGGCTGGCCCCTGCAATGAACTGGGCAACTCGGCCTGGGACATCCACAGTGTCTAGGAAAGTAAGCAGAGAGGTGACAGCACAGAAAGCAGCTTACTCAGCCTGTAGACTTTGGCCACCCTAGGCACTGCCAACCTCCCTCCCCACTTTGAGCTGACACTTCCCACAGGCAGCTCCTGCCCTTCCTGTTACTTACCTGAGCTGGGGGCCTCGACTTTACTGAACAGCTCTCTCCAGGCTGTGTCCAGAAAGAGGGCATTGTACTTACTATCCACAGATGCCAGGTATTTGGCCAGGGGATGGGAGCCTGGAAGGAGGAGGAGGAGGTGATGGTGAGAGAGCAGGAGCTGGCAGTGGCTGGAAGCAGGGCCTGTATACACACAGAGGCCCCACCTTTGCGCCTGGTTTGAAGGGTTCCAGAAAGCCCTTCCCCAACTCCCTAAACAGCTCAGGCTGAGAGAGGGGATGGGGCCCTTGGAGCTGGGAGAAGGGGGTGATCCCAGTGTTGGGGCTGGCTCTTACCCAGCGGCACCAGGAGGAAGCGGAGGTAGTTGAGCCAGTCAGGGGTCTTGCTGGCCAGCTGCTCCACAAAGAAGCGTAGGACCACACTCAAGTAGCTCTGGTCTCCTGCCACGACCACCTTGACTGGGGGAGGCATGTGGGAGTTACAGTTACAGCTGCCGAAGGAAGAGAAACCCCTGAGAGACTCAGAGCAAAACCAGGGCCAGGCTCACCCCCTGCTCCAGTACAAGGGATGGCATACTCCACACTCAGGGGCCTACTTCCAGATGGGCAGGTCCCTCATCCCTTCACTGACAGCTGTCTACATAGCTATGGTTCCTGCCCACACAGCTTTCATGCACAGCCACAGCATTGCTGCTCCCTGACTCCTGCATGGACTATGGTGCAGGGTGGCTACCAAGGCACAGCTTGGAGTTCTTTGGCTTGCATGATGTCGAACTCCATGGCCAGGCAGTGGGAAGGAGCCCAGACCCTGAGCACAGCCATGGGGCTCTGCATCTCACTAGAACCTGCCTTTGTGCACCCCCCTCCTAACTCAGCCATGCACATCTTCACATCCACTCATAACCCAGCCGCCTCGCCTCAAAATTACCTTGTGCAGGCCACGAACTAGCATTTAATAGCCAGAGACTGATACGATCATCACCAGGGTTCAGGCTTAACATCCTACCAAGCTGTGCGCAGGCTGCTCATCCCAGCTTCCAACCTATATGTTAGGGACCCAGTCCTGCATCTACTCACCAGCCCTGCCCACATCCTGCCTCCTGCCTGGTCACTTCACCATTTGCTTCTGCTCTAATTCCTCCAGACCCACAGCAGTGCTTTGCTGGCGGAGGGGTGGGGGTAGGGGGCTGGGGCACCTGGTGCAGGTGGCATTCCAGGACTCAGAGGCACTCCCTCACCCATCCCTACTGCATTCAGAAGCTGGCTTGTGGAGGCCGCCAGGCCTTGGCACCTCCCTGGGGTTGGGGCTGGCAGCCGCACCTTGCCTACTCAGGCCAGGAGCAGAAGCTTACTCTTTTCCTGAAAAATGAATCAAGCAAACCGCAGCAAACAGGGCCAGGCCTCCACCCTACTAGGGCAGGCTCCTTCCCCAAGGCCAGGTCATCAACTCTCCCCACCACAGGTGCTCGGCCTGTCTCGGGTTCTACTCACTATCTCTGGATGCGAGCAACGATAGTGTTGAAGGCAGCCTGGACATCTGCCATGGAGCAGGTGGAGACGACGGGCTGCTTGTGTGCCTGGAGCTGCTCACTCACGTACTATCAACACAAAGCCAGAGAGAAGGCAAGAGCTAGTCATGAGCTCCTGGTATGCCATACCATGCTCTGGGTCCCCTCGCTGCTGTGTTGGCCAACTGGGCCCCACAAAGCCTCCCAAGGATGTGCACAGACTCAGCCTGGATGGCCTCAAACACGGTGCCCCTGCCAGCCCCTGCAGGATATCCTCACATAATCACCTGTTCCTGCTGTCCACAGCCCCATGCCCAACCTAGCAGCAATCATCCTGGGAGCCTGACATCCCAAGCTGGTGCTGGTGCTGTGGACTCCAGTGACATGGAGCCCAGCCACGTGGCATAGGTCCCAGCTCTCTGGCAACCTAAAGCAGGATCTCCAGAGGCTGGCTCTCTGGAGGAGGGAAGGAGTTCCTTGGATGAGTTCGCAATTTGTTCCCCTTTTATCCAAGTGAGGAGAGATGCAGCCTGTCCAGATGCGTTAGTTTGCACAACGCTGAACTAAACCCTGTCTGCCCATTCACCATCTTGGGTAGGCCCTTCCAGAGCCAGGTCTTGTCTTCAGTCCTGACTCACCTAAATAACTGTGCCTCATATGCAGGTTTTGCCACCTCTTTGACCATTCCCTTCTCTAGGTTGATGCTAAAAGGAAACTATTGCACTGTATTTCACTCTCTGGCTCCTCTTGTTTGCACAATGAGCACTCAGGTACAACCTCCTCATTTGAACTCTCAGGCAACCCAAGGGAGATCTCATCCAATATTTGTGCTGTGCTTACTTGGCTGGTTTGCTGCAACCAGATAAAAAATATTTCATGGAGACACAATGGGGGAGCAGAGGTCCTCACACACCCTGGCCACCCCTTTCCAGATGAAGACCTGATCATTTCTTTCTGCTTGGTTTGCTGCTCCTCAGCTGGGGGTGGGAGTTGAGGAAAGCTTTGCCTGTCACCCATGATTACCTACCTTCCCAAAATACAAAAACAAATACAGTAAAATACAAAATAAATCTAAGGTCACCCTTTTGCCAGAGGTCTGGGAACCCCCTCAAAGAATTCTAGCAGGTGAGAAAAGAACAATTTTTCTTGGCAAAGACTGCTGCTGGTTCACTCATGTCCAGCTGAGAGTCTAACAGGGCAGCGCAGTGAGGCCACTGGCCTGGGCACTGCTGAGTCATCCCATGGTCCTGGCAGAGAGGTTCAGCCGTGGCTACCCCATCTCATAGATTCATAGATGTTAGGGTCAGAAGGGACCTCAATAGATCATCGAGTCCGACCCCCTGCATAGGCAGGAAAGAGGGCTGGGGCTAGATGACCCCAGCCAGATGCCTATCTAACCTCCTCTTGAAGACCCCCAGGGTAGGGGAGAGCACCACCTCCCTTGGGAGCCCGTTCCAGACCTTGGCCACTCTAACTGTGAAGAAGTTCTTCCTAATGTCCAGTCTAAATCTGCTCTCTGCTAGCTTGTGGCCATTACTTCTTGTAACCCCCGGGGGCGCCTTGGTGAATAAAACCTCACCAATTCCCTTCTGTGCCCCCGTGATGAACTTATAGGCAGCCATCTCCAGGCACACAACCTGTAGGCTTTAATTAGCAGCTAGGCCACTGCTTTCTCAGGCTTTCCTGGACTCACAGCTACACTGACCATGCCATATGGTGGGCTTTAAACTAGGCTCGTAGGGGGGAGGGGAAGATGAGGGCAGGGGAAGCTGTGGACCACCAAACCATGTGGCACCCACAAGAACAGCCCAGCCTGAAGAAGGAGAACATTGGGAACCTGCAAGCCATGGGGCGGCCAGCACTACGGCACAGGTAAGCAACAAGAAGGTAAGAAATAAGGGGCCCCTTGGGATTCGGAGCGGGGGGGCAGCAAAGGCAAAGGCACCAGTCACAGGGCTCAAGTGCCTATATACTAATGCTAGGAGCATGGGGAACAAGCAGGATGAACTAGCGCTCCTGCTTGCAGAAAACACCTATGACTTAGTAGGGCTAACGGAAACCTGGTGGGATTCGTCCCACGACTGGGCGGTACATATTGAGGGTTATAGGCTGTACAGAAAGGACAGGGTGGGGAAGAAAGGGGGAGGGGTTGCGCTCTA